CTGGAGCCAGGGCTGGTCTCACGCTAAGGCCATTTCTACATTAGCACGTATGTCGGCAAAACACTTGTCACTCAAGGGTTTTGCCGGCACAAGCGCTCGTGCACACAGTGCTGTGACGATGGGAGGTGCTCTCCTGCCGACCTAGCTACCACTGCTCATTGAGCTGGTTTTATTTCGTGGATGGGAGATCTCTCCAGGCTGCCAGCATAATGGGGCTCCATGTGCGCTCTTACAGCGGCACAGCTGTATCGGTACAGCTGTGCCGCTGTCAGCTTGTAAGTGTAGCCAGAGCCTAAGTCTACACTTAAAACGTTACAGTATCTCCGCATTTCACAGCAGACACTCACTGCAGTGATGGGAGAGGTGAGCCTGTCACTGGAGCTAATCCACCTCCCAATGACGCGGTAGTGAGGTTAACAGAGGAATTCTTCCATCCACCTAGCGCTGTCTACACCAGGGCTTAGGTCAGTTTAACTACGTTGCTCAGGGGTGTGGATTGTTCACACCCTGAGAGACAGAGCGTTGCCCCACACGCATTGCTTCCGTCTCACAAAGGGCAGGTCTGCACGTAAGCACTGCACTGGTCCGGCTGCACCACCATAGCGCTTCAGTGGAGACTATCTACGCTGATGTGAGGAGTTCTCGCCTCGGCTTAGATTCTCCACCACCTCAAGCTATGTTGACGTTAAAAGCCCTCCTGTTGACAGAGTGCTGTCTACTCCAGGGCTTAGGTCGGTATCACTGCATTGCTCAGGGGGGTGGATTTCTTACACCCCTGAACAATGTAGTTATACCGACCCAATTTTGTAGCATAGCCCTGGCTCCAAGCAAAGCTTGTTGGGCCCAGGTGGGGGCTGGCAGGGCATCAGGTGTGGTGGGAGGGTTTAAATCACACTGCCAGGCACTAATAATAAAGGTGCTGAAAGTGTGCGATTTGTACGTGGATAGGCCAGTGTTCCAGTCCCCTCGCAGACAACCCCATCACTTTCTGAAAAGGGCACATCTCAGCTCTCAAACAGCATGTTGTGGCTGCAAGAATCTGTGGGCGGCTCTTTCATTTACACGGAGGTTTAAGTCCCGCTTCGTGCCCCATGTTTGAGAATGAAAATCATAAACCACCCTTTGAAATAACGAATGCAGCAGGATGTGTTATTGTCCCTGCCCGAAAGCAGACAGCCCCTTGGAAAAATGCAGTGGGGTTTGGGGTAATACATCACTGCACATTTACCCTTGCTAAACTCCCTCCCCACCTTGTGGGGTCCCAGAGCCCGGTAGCCGAGACGCCTCCGCTGCAACTTTATCCGAAGCCCGAGTCAGCTGATACAGGCCAGCCCTGGGTGTTTCATCGCAGTGTGAATATACCCTCACATCATGTCTACACTGCGATTAGAATCATAGAAGACCAGGGTTGGAAGGGACCTCAGGAGGTATCTAGTCCAACCCCCTGCTCAAAGCAGGACCAATCCCCAGACAGGTGCCTGGGAAGTGGGGCAGGGCTCCTGTCTCAAAGCCCGGGGCAGCTGACTCAGGCACGTGGGGCCGGGGCTGCAGGGCTGTACATTTACAGTGGCGATGTAGGGGTTTGAGCCCGCGAGGGGCGAGGGTCTCCGAGCCCAGGCTGCAGCCTGAGCCCAAAGAGCCACACGGCGGGGGCGGAGTTGGGGGCGGAGACATTGGGGAAGGGGCGGGGCCAGGGGGCCATGGAGTGTCCTCTTTTTTAAAACCTTAAACATGGTAACACTATTATTGCCCGCCCCAGGCACACGGGCGGGAACTGCCCGCCCGAGCCCCCTGCGCTGCCCCCAGCCCGGGAGCAGAGCCCCGGGGGCCCTTTGTCCTGCCCGCCCGGCGCTGCCCGGGGTCCCTCCGCCAATCAGGGAGCGGGGAGGCGCGCGGCCGCGCACACGTCCCCTCCGCCAATAGAAAGCCGAGCGGGAGAAAGTAGCGAGAACTACGCTTCCCAGTGCGCCCCGGGATAGGCCACTTCCGCTTCCTGCGGCACGTGCGGCAGTGGAGAGGGGCAACTAAACGTCACTTCCGCTCTGGGGAGAATCAAGAATTACGGCGCTCAGCCTGTCCTGCGGCGCTTCCGCCCTCTCGAGCCCAGGTATGGGAGGGCCCCCGGGGTCAGCCTGACCCCCCCCCTTCCAGCCCCTCCCCCCGACGGCTCCCCTCGGCCGCGCGCCCCCCCCCGGGAGCAGCGGCCCCGCCCGGAGCCTCCCGGCGCCTTCCCGCTTCTCAGGCGAACTCTCGTGTCCCGGGGGCGGCCCCGCCCCCCAGGCCCCGCCCCTCGGCCGGGCGCTGCGCTGCGGGGGGGGGCCTCAGCCCCGGGGTCTCTGGCCCTGCCCCCGCTGCTCCCCGGGCCCGAGCAGCGCCCCAGGATCGGCCCCGCCAGTGCCAGGGCTCCAGAGTGAGCGATCGGACCCGGCCCCGCCCGGCTCCCGGCAATCGGGGGGCCAGCGATCATGCTGGGGGCGGGGGGGGGGATCAGGCTGTGGGCGGGAGGGGCGGGGGGGGATCAGGCTGGGGGGCGGGAAGGGGATCAGGCTGGGGGCGGGAAGGGGGAAGGGGCGGACGGGGATCAGGCTGTGGGAGGGAAGGGGGGTGGGGCGGACGGGGATCAGGCTGTGGGCGGGGTCTCCTGCCTCAGGGGGGCAGCCCAGGGGGCGCTGTAGGGGGCAGCGGTTCACTTTCCGGGTGACTGTCCCCTTTCAGGAGTCGGGTGTGTCTCGCGTACCCCAGGTTACAGCGATAGCAATACCAGTGTGTCACCGCACAGGATGACTGGACATGGCTGACTTTCTCAGCTTTACCATCTAATTATAACATAAATCAACTGGAATGTAAATATTGTACTAACGTTTCAGTGTACAGGATATAGATCAGTATAGAATCTCAGGGTTGGAAGGGACCTAGAGATCATCTAGTCCAACCCCCTGCTCAAAGCAGGACCAATCCCCAGAAGAAACTGACTCCACCATGACGATAAGGATGAGAACCGATCAGCTGCGTAGAACGGATATGCACAAGTTGTATGAAAATGTACTTTGTACTGACTTTGCATGTTTTTATGTAGCATGTTGCAAAACTAGGGAAATATCTAGATGAGTTGCTGTACCCCCTGAAAGACCCCTGTGTCTGGGTAGGTAAAGTCCCCCCATTACTAATTGTATTTTGAATGTCTCTGTTAATTGTGCCACAGTCTAGAACACTAGTGTGCAGGGAAAGAGCATGGGGGGGGGTAATTTTGATATGAAATTATTTCCTGTTCTGACATGTCCCCAATTGCCTTTTTTGCCCTAACAGGTTGCAGCGCAACATCCATGTTTTGCTCCAGATCATTCCGTCCTTCCAGGGACCAGAAAAGGGAAATGGCTGCAATGGAGCCAGTCAAGGTAGGGATTATCGGGGAGTTGCTGGTGGGTTCCTGTTAGGGAGAGAGACGGGCAGTAAATACATAGGAGGTGGGCACTTGGGTGGGTGGAGGTTGGTCTGGAGGTGGGAGGGGTTAGGAATTACATCAGGTGGAGAAATGGGGGGGCGGCAAGGTGTGAAAAACGTGCTGGATTTGGTTACAGTGAGGCCTAGATCGGAGGAACAGACCCCTGGGATTTGTGGGTGGGAATTCCCTAATTTGTGTAACAGGAAACAACCCCCCCTGGAGTGGGCTGGGAAAACTTACCAGAGTCCAAAACTACAGCCTGAACCTACTACCCAGAAGCTACTGTGAGATATAAAGGGACACCCACCAGCAGTGTTCCTCTAATTTTTGATGTCCATATGTGGAATTAATTTTGTTATGTGTCACACATCACCTCCATATTGATGCACATAACAAAATTCATGTGGTGAGGATGGTGCCGAGTGGTTCAGATTGTGGGAGGGGGTTCAGGGCTGGGTCGGGGTTGGAGTGCAGGGGGTGTGTGAGGGCTCTGGGGTGGGGCTGGGGATGTGGGGTTCAGAGTGCAGAAGGCGGCTCAGGGCTGGGGCAGAGGGTCAGGGGGGCTGAGGGCCCCTGGCTAGTGGGGCTGGAGATGAGGGGTTCAGGAGGGGGCTTGGGCCTGAGGCAGAGGTTGGGTGCAGGGGGTGAGGGCTCCGGCTAGGGGTGAAGACTGTGGGGTAGGGCCAGGGATGACAGGTTTGGGGTGCGGGATGGGGCTCAGGCTGGGGCAGAGGGTTGGGGGGGGACAAGGGCCCTGTCTGGGGTTGTGGGCTCTGGAGTGAGGCTGGGGATGAGGGGTTTGGGGGTACAGGCTGCCCTGGGGCTGTGGTGGGGAGAGAGGACTCCCCTCAGTCCTCTCTTGCCAGAGCAGCTTAGGGGAGGGAGAGAGGCGACTCAGGGAGGGGCTGTGGAAAGGGCTTCTCTCCCACCGCGGCATGTCAGGGGCAGGTCCGTGTTTGGGGCCGGGGAGGGGCGCCTTTTTCCCAGCTGCGGCAAGTCCAGGACAGGTCCACACTGGGGCGGCGGGGAGGGGTGCCTTTCCCTGCCGCAGTCCCGAGTCCCTTCTCAGGGCTTAATAGGCAGCTGTGCGACCACGCACCTTAGAGGGAACTTAGCCCTCCAGAGAGGCCCAGGGAAGACACCCCATCCCCTCCCATCTAGTTGTTATCAATGGGGAGGGTGTTGCAATTCCCATCATAGTGTTGTCCGTGGACTCTGCTGGGAGCTTCATCTCCTGTATCAGCCTCTGGCTAGTAGGTGAGTGATGAATGTGAAGACCCCTTTCCCTTCTCTCCTCTCAGAGGGGTGAAGGGCTCTCTTTTTCTCCCCTCACCCTAATGCTTCCTGCCTGTTCCGATGGGATAGGTGTGGGATTATGCTGTCCGCCTGCCTCCCAGAGCTTCCCTGTGATTGGCCCTCCTCTCCTGTGAATAGTGGGGCTGTCAGTGGGGCAGCAGGTACTGAGTGAGGGGCTCTTTCTCTTTCAGGGGCCGGTGACTTTCGAGGAGGTGGCTGTGTATTTCACCAGCGAAGAGTGGGCTCTGCTGGACCCCGCTCAGAGAGCCCTCTACAGAGCCGTCATGCAGGAGAACTATGAGAATGTGACCTCACTGGGTAAGGATTCCTGTCCCCTCGGTTATTAGAAGGGGAAGTGAAGAGTTAAGTTTCGCAACACCCCACAGTGCAACCTCAACTCTGCCCTGTTTCAGCAACACCCCAACAGGCAAATGACACCTACACTAGCACTCTACCCTCCTGACCCCAGAGCAGTTTGGGAACAGAGCACAGGAGCAGTATAGCACAAAGTCTAACCCCTTCTCTTTGCTGAGGCAAAACTTGGGATTAGGTCCCATGTAGGGAACAGAAGCTGCCTGCCCCTGGCCTGTGCTCAGACACTGAGCCTACTACACACAATCCATCTCAGACTTTCATAATGTCACCACCTCTTTACCCTTGCATTGAGGATTCCTTCTGAGTAACTGCCTTCACTTACCCTGCCTGAGCATTGGAGACCACTAGCATATATGCCCCCTGACTGCTGACAAACCTTGTGATAAGAACACGCTCTTAAATACTACTGTGGTGCGATTCTTTGGTATTTTACCCCTCACAGGCATATTAAATTTTATTACATTATGGTCTATATTACAAAGTGGTTCAGCTGTATTCACATCTTGCACCAGATCCTGTGCGCCGTTTAGGAGTAAATCTACACTTGCCTCTCCCCTTGTGGATTCCAGAACTAGGTGCTCCAATAAGATGCCATTAACGGGGAATGGATCTAGACTGTTCTCAGTGGTGGCAGATGACAGAACAAGGAGTAATGGTCTCAAGTTGCAGTGGGGGAGGTTTAGGTTGGATATTAGGAAAAACTTTTTCACTGGGAGGGTGGTGAAGCACTGGAATGGGTTCCCTAGGGAGGTGGTGGAATCTCCTTCCTTAGGCCTGGTCTACACTAGGAGGTTATGTCGAATTTAGCAGCGTTAAATCGAATTAACCCTGCACCCGTCCACACAATGAAGCTATTTAGTTCGACATAGAGGTCTCCTAAATTCGATTTCTGTACTCCTCCCCAATGAGGGGAGTAGCGCTAAATTCGACATGGCCATGTCGAATTAGGGTAGGTGTGGATGGAATTCGACACTAATAGCTCCGGGAGCTATCCCACAGTGCACCACTCTGTTGACGCTCTGGACAGCAGTCCGAGCTCGGATGCTCTGACCAGCCACACAGGAAAAGCCCTGGGACAATTTGAATTCCTTTTCCTGTCTGGCCAGTTTGAATCTCATTTCCTGTTTGGACATCGTGGCGAGCTCAGCAGCACTGGCAGCGATGCAGAGCTCTCCAGCAGAGGTGACCATGCAATCTCAGAATAGAAAGAGGGCCCCAGCATGGACTGATCGGGAAGTCTTGGATCTGATCGCTGTGTGGGGCGATGAGTACGTGCTTTCGGAGCTGAGATCGAAAAGACGGAATGCAGAGATCTACGAGAAGATCTCAAAAGCCATGACAGAGAGAGGATACAGCCGGGATGCAACGCAGTGCCGCGTGAAAATCAAGGAGCTGAGACAAGGGTACCAGAAGACCAAAGAGGCAAACGGACGCTCCGGATCCCAGCCCCAGACATGCCGTTTCTACGAGGCACTGCATTCCATCCTAGGTGCGGCCACCACCACTACCCCACCACTGAGGCGGGAGAGGGGTAGCATACAGGGATCTTTCCTGGGGACAGCCGTGAGGGGGTGGGACAGGGGCAGAGTTCATGCTTGCCGGATTGCCGGCAGCAGGAACTGGCCAACGCTAGGAGCATTGCTTTGAACGTGAAAGGAGGGCACTGCTATAATTTAAGTTTTAAGCAGCCAAAAGTCTACGGCTTACCATGTCAGCCTGCTACCAGAATTCCGCTGTCCTGCCCCGCTTGTCTGATCTCCACTGCAAGACCCCAGGCACTGAATGCAAAGGCCGAAAATTCGACCTTGTCCTGAGTGCGCATGTGATAGGTGCTGTGCATGGTCTTGTTCACAGAGAAAGACTATGTTCTTTGTTCACAAAAAATTATCTTTTTGAGGAATTCACTCCCTTTTTCCCATCCCACAGCTGCGACTGTCTCCCGACCTACCCTGGCATCCCCCTCCCAGAGGCTGGCGCAGATTAGGCGGAGAAAGAAAAGGACACTGGACGACATGTTCTCAGAACTTATGGGCTGGTCCCGAGCCAAGGCGGCCCAGCAGACCCAGTGGAGGGAGAACATGTTGCAATACCATCGATCACACATTGAACAGGAGGAGAGGTGGAGGCAGGAAGACCAGCAGGTGACTCAAACGCTGCTTGGACTAATGAGGGAGCAAACGGACACGCTCCGGCGCCTTGTGGATGTTCTGCAGGACTGGAGGCAGGAGGACAGAGCCCCGCTGCAGTCTCTCTCTAACCGCCCTCCCCCGCCACAAAGTCTCATACCCCCCTCACCCAAAGTCCCAAGAAGGAGGGGCGGCAGGGGCCGTGAAAACTGTCACTCCGCCCCTGCAGACTGCTCGAGTACCAGAAGGCTCTCATTCCCCAAAATTTGATAAGTCCTTTCCTTCCCGCCTCACCCAAGCCCCCGTTCCAGTTTCATCCCCTAACTGTGTAGTTGCTAATAAAAAATAAGTTTCTGTTAATTACTGTTTCCATCATGTTCTTTTACAGGAGAGTGTGTTTGAAGGATGGAAGGAGGTTGGTAATTGGAGAGGACAGTCACCTTTACCAGGGTACAGACACGGGGGCAGGTTCAGCAGCAGGTCACACACACATTGCAGTCACTAGGCACCCTGGTCAGTCTGGGAGGTGGTTTTCATGTTCTGTGTGGGGGTGGGCTATGTGACTTTGTGGCGGGGGAGGGCGGTTAGAGATCTTATGCAGCGGTCCTTATCCTGGATCACAGAGCCATGCAGCAGGGAATCTGTAACCGTCCTCCCCCGCCACAAAGTCACATCACCCCCACACACAGAGTCCCGAAAAGGAGGGGTGGCAGGCTCCGTTGAAACAACCAGTCCACCACTGCGGATCCCTCTAGGAGCAGGAGCCTGTCATTCCTTGAGTTTAGAAGCGTCCTTTCCATCACTACGCCCGCTCGCCACCACAGTCTGCGTCCCAGTTTCAACAGTTTACCGCGAAACCCGTAATAAAGAAAATGGTGTTCATTAACAAAGTTCCATTTATTTTATTTTTAAATGTGAGTTGGAAGGGGGGGGACGGGGTGAACGGGGTATGTAGCTGGAGAGGATAGTCAACATTAACCGGGTAAAGAAACGGGGGCAGGTTCAGCTTCTCCTTAAACAAACTTAAGTCACTGGTTACCCTGCTCACTGAGGAACCTAGCTTTCAAAGCCTCCCGGATGCACAGCGCGTCTCGCTGGGCTCTTCTGATCGCCTGGCTGTCTCGCTGGGCGTAATCAGCAGCCAGGCTATTTGCCTCAACCTCCTGCCATAAAGGTCTCCCCCTTGCTCTCACAGAGATTGTGGAGCACACAGCAAGCTGCAATAACAATGGGGATATTGGTTTCGCTGAGATCAGAGCGAGTCAGTAAGCTTCTCCATCTCCCCTTGAGACGGCCAAAAGCACACTCCACCACCATTCTGCAATTGCTGAGACGGTAGTTGAAGAGTTCTTTTTCAGTGTCCAGGGCGCCTGTATAAGGCTTCATGAGCCAGGGCATTAGCGGGTAGGCTGGGTCCCCGAGGATCACTATAGGCATCTCCACATCCCCAACAGTTATTTTGTGGTCCGGGAAGTAAATACCTTCCTGCAGCTGTCTAAACAGACCAGAGTTCCTGAAAACACGAGCGTCATGAACCTTGCCCGGCCATCCGACATTGATGTTGGTAAAACGTCCCCTATGGTCCACCAGTGCTTGCAGCACCATTGAAAAGTAGCCCTTTTGGTTAATGTACTGGCTGGCCTAGTGGTCCGGTCCCAGGATAGGGATGTGAGTTCCATCTATAGCCCCACTGCAGTTTGGGAATCGCGGCGAAGCCATCTATGATGACCTGCACGTTTCCAAGGGTCACTACCTTTGACAGCAGTAGCTCAACGATTGCGTTGGCTACTTGCATCACAACAACCCCCACGGTAGATTTGCCCACGCCAAAGTGGTTCGCGACTGACTGGTACTGTCTGGCGTTGCAAGCTTCCAGAGGGATATGGCCACTCGCTTCTGGACAGTCAGGGCTGCTCGCATCCGGGTGTCCTTGCGCTTCAGGGCAGGGGACAGCAACTCACAAAGTTCTAGGAAAGTTCCCTTCCGCATCTGAAAGTTTCGCAGCCACTGTGATTCATCCCAGACCTGCAGCACTATACGGTCCCACCAGTCCATGCTTGTTTCCCGGGCCCAGAATCGCCATTCCACAGCATCAACGTGACCCATTGCCACCATGATGTTCACGGCGCAGGGTCCCGTGCTTTGCGAGAGGTCTGTGCCTCTCTCAGACTTCAGGTCCTCACCGCGCTGCCGTAGCCTCCTTGTCCGATTTCTCAGCATCTGCCTCTGGAAAAGGTGTACGATAAGGTGCGAGGTGTTGACAACGGCCATAACTGCAGCGATGGTCGCAGCGGGCTCCATGCTTGCGGTGCTGTGGCGTCCGCGCTTTCACTGACCAGAAAAGTGCGTGAACTGATTGCCCGCCGGCGCTTTCAGGGAGGGAGGACGGGAGTGACAGTTGGATGATGACAGTTACCCAAAACCACCCTCGACACATTTTTTTCCCCAGCAGGCATTGGGGGCTCGACCCAGAATTCCAATGGGCAGCGGGGACTGCGGGAACTGTGGGATAGCTGCCCACAGTGCACCGCTTCCAATGTCGACGCTTGCCCCCTTAGTGTGGACTCACAAAGTCGAATTACTGTCCTTAGTGTGGATACACACATTCGACTTTGTAATATTGATTCCACATATTTGATTGAAGTAAAATCGAACTACTCTCGTAGTGTAGACATACCCTTAGAGGTTTTTAAGGTCAGGCTTGACAAAGCCCTGGCTGGGATCGTTTAGTTGGGAATTGGTCCTGCTTTGAGCAGGGGGTTGGACTAGATACTTCCTGAGGTCCCTTCCAACCCTGATATTCTATGAATAAAAACT